ATTCTAAGTCAACTGCAGATTGGAAGAAGACAGAGTTAGTGATAACCTTGTATATTGCCTGATCAAACACAGAGAAACAAGAATACAACAAAACAAGCAAAAGGGAGATACCCAAGTAAAGGATCTATCGTTAACCAAAGGAATGAAGTCTCAACTGAGAAGTAGGTGATGAATTTTCGGAAATAAAGCCAAGACTTTCCAAGTGAATGTGGTCTGATCGAAGAAATAACTACAATTTTGGGGGCCTGATGGTCACGTGACTAGGGCGAGGGATTTGGTCACATAAATTGGGCATTTTGGCCAAGTTGACTAATAATCCACTCAAGATGCAGCAGGCGACCAGAGATGGATGCCCACAGTTTATCAGGATACACAGGTTTAATCTAGGAGACTATGTGGGAAAGTAATGCAAGCATTGGAATCAGAACCTATGCGGTCTGCGGGTGAGGCGACATTGTAAGTGTTACTGAAGGCTTGAGAAACAGTACCTGGAGTAAAAAGTACACTGGAGCTGGAACCGAGAGAAATCGGTCAACCAGAAAGATAAGAAAAGGATCTACGGGTCCATGAGGCAGATTCGGACAGGAGGCCCGAGTTGGATTGGCCACTCGAAAGGGAGGGGGGCAATACAAGCAGCAGGTATGATGAGGCCACGGTAACTTGGCCAAAAGGGCACGCATCTTGAGGAGTGTAATTTAGAAAATTCATAATTTGTGATAGTGAGTAAGTTGGATAAGAGGGTAAGGAATGGATAGATGGGCCAGGACAGAAAGAGGAGTGATAGTGCAACCTTTTCGGCAGAACGTTGGTCGAGAGATTGACTTCACTTCAGGGTCCGACTAAAAGTTTTTATGCATACTGTGGACCCCAAATTAGGTGCGTTTCTCTGGGTCTTCCTGTCAATAACACCAAGTTGTGAAAACAAGGTCAAACAACTACTATACATCGAAAGGAGACTGCGCCCAAATAGAGACCACAATATCTTGATCTTCGTATCTGCATTTATCTTTCTTTTTGTTCCCATCTTCAGCCCTATTTCCACTAAATATATCCTCCAAAGCATATATCGCACTGTCATACCTTTGTAAATGTGGATATAAGATAAGAAATAAATAGTTTCTTCAGTTTTTAACATAACTTGCAGACAGATTATTTTACCTTCCTGCGAGTGTTTCTGAAATATTGTTGCATAAACTGCATGTTCTTTACGTATGTGACAGAATATTTAGCCCTTAGGCAGCCTGAAATGCAAAAATTAATGTAGTATTTGCGTTAGGGCTTGTCATTTCATCTCTAGCCTTTGCACCGCCAGGTTTCGTAAATTTTCGACTCGCATCACTATGTTTAGAACGAAGAGAAATTATTATGGAAATTTTTGGCGCTATCAGACCTTCATTTTAAAATTACCGATAGTAACAAATAATCTTGATTTGCCCTGTTTTATTTCTCCTCCGCGCTTATTTTACTTATGTATGCACTCTAGGCTCTACTACCTTTTCCTGGTGTCGGCGAAATCACCACACTAGGCCGGCACCAGGTCCTGCCTAGCGGTACTCGCTTATTCGCTATTTCAGCAGGTGCCCACCTCCCTAGTGTAGGCGCCCAAGCATCTTCTGGACAGTCTGTTACCGCTGCTGGGCTACAGATAACCTCAGATACACCAGCTAGCATGCCTCTAAACACAGCGGTTTCAACTACCGCCTCAGTCGGATCCACAAGACCCCAGTTAACGGCTCCAAGGCCGGATGGCAACCTGGCTCTTTCGCTTAGTAATGGCCTAGCATCTCACAA